AATAACACATAACATGTGGCATATTTGTTTGAAAAATGACAAGTGCCAATTGAAAATTAATTAATCTACTTACATTTGATCTATAAAGGGAAACTTAAAAGGACTAATTGAATAAGCATCATTGGATAGTCCTTACCTGTTGCTGTTTCCTCACACTGTGTCTTCCATAGTCGCTGCTCAGCAAAGTCTTATCCCTGTTGATGAATGTCCCGTGTACCTGCAAGTCAGACGCCCCGAGCATCAGGAGCAGCACTACAGTCAGCATGTTAACAGCAGGAGACATGTTGTCCGAGGACCCCTCTGACCACAGTTATTAAAGACCCCTGAACTGTACGTCACCTGTCGCATGTTGTAGAGACACACACACACACACACACACACACACACACACACACACACACACACACACACACACACACACACACACACACACACACACACACACACACACACACACACACACACTAATACCTTCCGCCTCATTTAAACTGAGTAAATTCCTGCTTTAATAATCTTCCAGCTCTGAAGAATATATTTGGAAAGGCATTTATGTCCTCATTAGGCTGCTGAATGAACCTGTTGGCAGAGGGGAAGGAAACTAAACACAGGCATCTTATGGAAATGGCCAACTCACATTCAATACACGTGATACAGGGTGTGTTGTTCGATATAAAGGTTCTATTTTCCCCTTTACTACAAGCTCTACTCATTATGTGGCAACGTCAATTAGAGACTATAGCAAGCTGCTTTGAAGGAGACAGGTTCACAAGTGGATGTGTTCGAGTTTTCTTTTATGTTTTGGAGAAATTTGAGCTCTCTGTTTTTGATTCATTCAGTTATTTCCTCTTTTTTGCCTCAAACAATTGCAATTAGAATATAACAATTGTAATCTAACATTTCCTTTAACCCTTTTTTTGCCATAATTTAATTTGAAAGATTTGGATACTTTAACAGCTTATTTTTCCTTATCATTGAAGTTATTACTAAGTTAATGAAGAGCTGCAGACAAACTGTAATTTGTAATTAATACAGTGGAAATAAGAGTAAAGGTTGAAGACTTGCTTTGGCCAGTACGCCAGTATTATAGAGTCCAGTATTTTTACATAATGACCCATAAGATAAAATAATACTTATATGACAAAGCTGGTGATATTTCCGGTATTTTCGACACACAGTAGAGCAAAAATAAATACATAAATAAATAAAACGATAAAGAAGCCCATCCCTCAATAATATAGCAGCCTGTGTCCCTCAGCCCAGAGCGCACTTGCCACTACTGAAGACATACATCTTTCAAAACTCTTAAAGGTAGGGTAGGTAAGAATGGAGAAACCAGCTCGAGTGCGCTAGAATTTGAAAATACACAACCGAAAAAAATCTGCCCCTTCCTTCAGACTTCCTTACAGAGCCCCTCCTCCAACACACATAAACGCGCATGTGCGCGTTTATGTGTGTTGGAGGAGGGGCTCTGTAAGGAAGTCTGAAGGAAGGGGCAGATTTTTTTCGGTTGTGTATTTTCAAATTCTAGCGCACTCGAGCNTACAGCTAGATCTTGAATACAGTTTTGAAAACAGTTTTGAAAACAGTTTGAAAATATTTTGCCTAGTGTCAGAAATTATTACCGGCACTTGTGACTGCAGCTGGTTGCTAGGTGACGGGGGCTGCAAAATGTAGGGGTAACTGCCGGTGACGTACAAGGACATGCTCCGTAGACCGTCTCATTTCGCAGTCCGCGGAGGACCCAAGCTGGGTCCTCCGCGGACTGCGAGGCTGGGTCCTCAGGAGGACCCAGCCTCTGAATTGGGACACAGCAGCACGAATATTTTCATCTGAGTCCGGCGCACTTCCTGGGGGCTTGGTTTATATCACCTAGTCTGTTCTTCTTCTCTGTCTTCCGGTTGTTGCCTGTTTTGAATGACGAATACACACTACCGCCGCCTGCTGGTAAGGAGAGTTATTGCCACTCACGCATGCGCAGTTCTCGGCTAGTAAAGTAACGAGTAAAGTAACGAGTTATGTAGAGAGTAACGAAGTAGTGTAATATATTACTTTTTTTTTTTAAGTAATATGTAATATGTAATATATTACATTTTTTTAGTAACAACCCCATCTCTGGACATGAGTCATGCAAACTGAACATTGGGAGTGTGCTGCACTTTGGCTAAATACTAATACTAAAGAAACAGTGTGGGTATATGTTTGCTTGAAGTCAAATAAAAAGACATACATTAGTCTTTAATGTACTATAACCTTAAATAATCCAGGTTACTTGGACAAGCTGTGCAGTATGCGAGTAGTAAAGGACATTACATCATGCTGGCTGCACCTTTTATAATAATCAAAGTTTTCATGGACTTTGTACAGTTGAAGATATCATAAGTTGAAAGAAAATGCAAAATACAAATACAGGGGATAGACACAACAACACAGTCACATGTACACTGTAATTCATTTCATTATAATAGACATGCAATTGTCATACTTATGAGAAGTTTATGATGATGTTTTGGACTAAACAGAAGTCTTTATTTTTCTATAGGAAGTTTAAGGGTTCCTGATTAGTTTTTAATGACTTATTTGAGGGCAGAACTCCACTTGGTGCTATCAGTGCTAATCATAGCATCATGATACCTTGCGTAAAATACAATAACAATACCTTTTGTTTATTAAGCTCATTTCCAAGTTATAAAACACACTTTTGAATACAAAAAAACATACAAGCATAAAAAACAAACAAACATACAGTTAAAACGATGTGTGGGCGTGGCATACTGCTGACATCCGGTTATCCCTGACATCTATGAGAGTTGAAGGAGCTTGGCGTCCTCTATTGTTGGAGCTTTTAGTGGGGCATTACATCCCTCTTCACCACCCTGGGGATGATGAGCGCCCAAACCCGACCCCATCGTCTTTGTTTGTGCACAATTCACCTCCTGTATATGGTGCAATGCATTGATGTAAGACAAACTGGTAATACTAATACTGTCCTTATTCACCCCGTAACACCAGGACAGGAGCCCATCAGTTTTTAACTACAGCAAAGTCAAAATTAACTTTAACTTTGTTAATGAGGTGGTTTGTCACTTTTTTGGCAGTTTAGGAGTTAGGGAGAGGCTGTAACCAAGTATATAAAAAATTATTGTGTCTATAACATTGTATTAATATTTAATTTTTAAGTAACAATATCAGGAATATAGCAAAAAACCCTAACCTACAGTATTATTTTTTTATTTCCTGACTCAAAATCTCTTATCCATGGGCCTACCCTGAAAAAAACAGAAAAGTTGACTTGATTATTTAATTAAATGTATTATTTCAAAACATTTCACATAACTGTATTAAGTTAGTTTAAAGCAATACCTTTACGTTTAAATACAAATGATTAGGTTAAACTTAATATTATTGCTTTCAACTAACCTAATACAGTTATGTGAAATGTCTAGTAACCTTAGCATTCATTGCGTACCGTAAAGAAAAGCCTCAAAAAGCATGTCATACCTTCAGGCCTGCATATATGTTTAACAGGCAATCGCAAGAGAAAGTCTAGACATTGTGAAATATGTGTTTTGTCGGTTTTAAAATGACAATGGACGATGTGCAGATGCGCTACAATGGCCCAAAATACTTCCATTAGGAGAAACACGCTGCAGCTTCTGAAATTATACAAAAAAAAAACTTTTGCCAAAAAGCAGAACGTCTTTACCAACAAACACAAACGTTGTAACTTCTTTGCACCTTTTGGCCACCTTACAAATACACAAATATTGCTTCACAAATGTACTGTTTGTTCACTCTACAGTAAAAAACACGGAGGGAATTGTCAGGCACAGGATATATAAGAGTTTTAGTGTAAAACTCAATAGTTATGAGCCCAGTAGTGTAAGCCTCTGAGACCTATTTCTTTAGAAAAGTATTGGCGAGGAAACAGTGCGGAAGTTTCTGCCGAATCGTCTTGGGTCCTTCTGATAGACAGAAGCAGAACAACATGACAGAAAAGTAAGAACACAAGGAAAGTTGGGAAAATGCAACCCAACGTGTGAATAATTTAATGATCCCTCAGTGATCAGTTCCTTCAGTAGATGTTGAGAAAGACAATATATTGAGGAATGAAACTTACTGACCCTTTTGAAATGTTTCTGTTTTCTGCTTTTCTCTGAATTCAAAGAAATGTAAAATAAGTGGCTTTCAGACGCATCTTATTAGTTATAATAAGGTTTTGAGTTTGCAGAACAGTTCCTATTGCTGATATATGTCTGTAACATACATTCTATCAAAAGGTGAGGGCAAGAATGCTTAACGTAGTGAAGAAATAACAATTAAAACAGCTCATTAATCCTATCTTTGACAGGAAAAAGCTGCATCTGGGCTATTTGTGGCACTGCAGCACGCTCACATTCTGTGGCAATGTCTATTCTGCACTTGTCATTAAGGACCATTAAACAAGAGTAAAACGAATACACATATGCAACAACACCATGATGCTCTTCTTGTATCAGATGTTTGGGGAACATGCAGTAGAATACACTCCTCTAAAAGGAGAATAAACTGCAGTCAATGCATGATTACACAGTTGATTGTAAATGGTATGATACACATTAGTTTAGCTTATGCTCTAAATATAAACACAATTTCACTTATATATTCAGCATTCATTAATTCATTATATTCAGCATAATATGCTTGAATACATTCATAAGCACTGATGTGAGTTAAATTGAAATGAAGTCATAGAATATTAGACATCTTTATTACACTGACCTCTAGTGTTTAAAACATGCCAGTACTTTTAATAGGTTCAATACATTACTAGTTAATATCCACTGAAAATAAAAATAATTTCAAAATGTGGTTTCCAATGTGTCCTTTTGACATGTTCATTGTGTTATTTATGTTGAAATATAAGTAAAAAAGTAGGAATGATGGCATTTAAAAAATATGAAAATGAAAATCCCAATGTTCTATTGACACAATTACTATGGGTTAAAAAAAAAGAGAGACAATATTTGTTGTTACTTTAGTTTTATTGTGCTCTGAAGAGCATGTAAACGTGTCAGTGCTGACCCCTGAGCAGTTTGCCAGTATGACTGGAGGATGGAGAAGCTGTTAGAGTTCAGTGTGCGGCACCAACTTTTTGGCTTTCCTCATGTTTTCAGCCACTGTTGAAAAAAAAGAGAACAAATGAGAACAAAGAACTTTACTCCTTTTTTCTGACAAAAAGCTCACAGCCAAATAATTTTTTAACTAAAACAATAAGGACATTCACTTTTATTATAAATTTATCATCAACACATTACTGCATTGGAATGTAAGATAGTACATGTACTCATGAACCCCAGAGGATGAATCCTATAACTTGAGTGATCTCCTGAGCTTCCCACTAGTCTTAGCAACAGGTTGAAGTTTCCCTGAGTAAAATATCCCAGCTTCTACTATTTGGCTTGGGAAAGAATTTGGTTTAGATATTCACATTCCACAGAGGATGAATCTGAGTAACTTGAATGTACCAATGCATTTATTTCCAGCACCATCTGTATTTCAAATGTTTAACTTAGTTGTTGGCCACATGCACGGCCGTCCCTGACCTATTTGCTGTCCTAGTCAATATTTGTGCGCTTGCTAACATTAGCCTTAAACTAAAATATACAGCCCTCAGGTATCAGAGCAACTCTGGGTGAAATATTTCCATCACCAGAGGAGGGTTATAGGTCTCAAAATGATGCTTAGATGTATTAACTATATACCTGCATGAGAAACCATATGACCCCTTATGTAAACAGTTTAACAGAAAGTTTAATATTAATTAACAGATAGACTTTTTTTCTCAAATTTCAAAAAGAAATTCACTTTTGATCTCATCTAAAAAAAATCACATGTGGCCCTAATCCAGCTCAATACAATAAAGATGTTTAGAACATGTAAAAGCAGAAAACTTGGACGGATGATGTTAATACATAATAGGGGCTAAGCCTGTCTTCACAGTGACGGGTGAGGTGTGCAGCCTTCCCCCCCACCCCCCAGAAACAGCGGACAGTAACTCACAGACTTTCATGTCTCCAGGCTCGTAGGCGTAGGCGAGGTTTCTGTACCTTCCTACAATGTTGGTGCGCACTGTCAGAGATGGATCTGCAGTGAGAGTGAAAATAACGTGATACAGGTGACACGTGTCCGTTTCAGTGAGAAACCATGTGGTGAAATCTCTGGAGGAAAACTGAATCTAAAACTCCTAGTTTCCCCGACACTTCCCACACGATCATTAGGATACATAACTACTGAGTCTGTAAGCCCATATCCCTTTCCCTTTCATTAGTATCTGTTATACCCAAATCCTTTTTCTGCTAGACATAAAATCTGCTATGTGTTTTTTTGTGTCTAAAAAATATGAAAATATCTGATACACTGGGACTCTCTTTGGGGTTGAGTTCTGTTGAGCTCATTAGAATGATGACAGAGAGTTAAGAAAGGGAGAGAATTCTAAGTAAGTGTTGCTATTTGAAGACAGATTTAATTAAAAACCATAGAGAACATTCGTTATTTAAGATAACGGTCCAATTAGACTTAACATGTATGAATACATTGTATATTATGATGTCAGTTTTTACCAATAAAGAGGATCCTGGGAACATACTGGCCATCAGGGGCCAAATTCGTGTCCTCAGTCTCTACCTGTAAAATACATATATATGCAATCTAAGTTAACTTAAAGTGCTTTACCAAAAAACATTAAAAGTATTAAGATGTAAAGCAGAAGAAACCAATGTTCAAATAAGATTTAAATACTATGTTTTTTCTTGCAAAGAAAGTGTGCATAAAGTAATCTGCTGACACTTAATTCTAGATGCTATTCTTCAGTCATTTGAAGTATTATGTACTTACCAGCAGATTGAGCATGATGAAATCCTCTTTGGCCATTTTCTGGATGGTCTTATCAGCAGCGAAAGCCTTCTTCAGTGCTGTAAAAAACATTTGGATGGCAAACCTTTTATCTATTTAATTTATTGTATCTTTTCAAACTGCATAGGCCCACTTAGAGAACATTGGTATTTCTAATAATGTTTTAATCAAGCCATAATCAAGGAAGGAATACTGATAAGGATTCATTCGGAAAACTATTTAAAAATATATAGTTTTAGACCTCAGTTAGAATGAGTATTCAATAAATCTTTATTAAAATAATTAATTTGCATGCCATTGCTATAAAAAGTAAAAAAAGGAGTACATATTGTACATGTGGTAATGTCAGTTATTCAAATGTCAGTTATCACAGTTTGTGTTAATAAACTTCTGGCCTTTTGTACTTTTTGACAGTTAGTCAAGTCAGGAACAAGTTTTGCAGGTTGGATTTACAGAGCCTCCATGTCTAGTTTTCTTACCAGAGGTTACACAACAATTATTTACAAATGTAAGATATGATGAGCACTGGTATGTTCAGGCGTTCAAAGGCAGGCTGTAAGATATTTGTACCTCAGACCTGAGGACAGGAAAAGCCAGGTTTTGCCCTGTACTGTAGGTAGTCTTTGTTGTTTATGTGTTAATAAAACACCAGTGGAGACTTCCATTGAGGCTACACCCAGGAAACCAGCTCCGTGATTAATGGATAGGACTCAAATCTGTGTGCATTGCTTACTTGGCAGGTACATAGGAATGCACCCATTGTGTTCCCTGTGAAACCAAGCCCAAAGCTCTCATCAAAAAGACAGTTCAGATATGCTTTGCTATGCTTTACGTCCATATTTTCAGATGTTATAAAGCAGAGTGAGTGAAGTACCTTGACTGTGCGGGCAGTTCAGATGATGATGGATGACCATCAGAGGCTTCACACTGTGTGTGTGGGGGGGGGGGGGGGGTAAATCACAGATAAACACATTCCTCAACACAATGAGCACAATGATGGGTGTGATGCAGTTTGACACAACATAATCCCTCTGAAATCAAAGTCCTAATGCCAGATTTAATAAGAAAAATAGCATGTGTTAATAATACCTATTATCAAGCTTCAGCTTATCGAGGTGTCCCATTTCACATATCTCCATTATGTCTTATGATTGTACTATTTTTTAAACATGTGAATAAATAAAATGATGATGATATGATACAATAATCAGATGTAGTTTTGCATTATACAATATGTTATCCCCAATTTAAGGTCACCTCTTAATGCTTGTGTGAGCATCAGGATGAAAATAAAGTTCTGTCATGGATTGCATATAACATGTGGTACAGTATTTACAAAAGTATTAAACAATTGAAACATACAGTACATTTAAGAACATCAAAAACTTTAAATATATCAAATAATATTCAATATATCAAAGAATCTTCAATATATATAAAAATATATATATCAGTATTTTTAGGAGCTGTAGGAATACGTTGCGTATGCGTAATTAAGACAATGCACATTAAGAAATTAAAGTTAACACATTTCTCATATATGTTTACATTCTGTTCTAACTGCCAAAACTCATATCCAAACAGAGTCAACAGATATGTAAGGATGTTATCAAGGTGCAGAGTCTTACCTTAGACCTGCATTGAAAAGACCTTCTTCATAATTTTTCACCCAGCGAATATTTAATCCCCATCCTGCAGGTTAAAAACAGTGATGAATGCATTCTGCATACGACTATCATTCATTACATTATTACAATATGATATTGAATCTCTTTAAAGGGGCCCTGTTACGCCTTTTGGGGTTTTCCCTTCCCTGTTTCTCTCCCGCACAATCCCCGCCTGCCTGAAAGATCTCCATTTGTTTACTTCCGTAACATCCCTATGTAACACCTACGCTTCTATTGGCTAGCGTTCAAACACATTATTTGTGGCTAAGGGGCGGGACATCTCTAAACAGTTGACCAATCACAACGAGCCGGCCAGCTAACCAATCAGAGCAGATTGGGCTCTGGTTTCAGACAGAGGGTGAAAAGAGGTGCTGCAGCACAGGCAGTATGACCTTTTTGAACATTAAAGCATGTAAACATGTAGAGGCTTAGAATACAAATATGAAGCTGAGAATGAGCATAATATAGGGCCCCTTTAATGACAACTACAATTTGCAATATTAAAAGTGCCTTAATACTTAACTAATTTGTTGTATTGATTCAACCACTATTGGAAAGGAAGCAACCACTGAAAAACCAAGCAGGTTAACCCACCTCTTGCTAAAGACTCATTCTTCGTTTTCCTGTGCTTCTGTTCTCCAGCACTGGCACAGAGACCAATGAACAAAGCGAATAAGACCAAACGAAGCATCACTTCCTGTCCTTAAGAGAACTGCAATGAAAGAAAGAAAAAAAATAGATTACATTTAATTATATGTTCCTTTAAATATTGGCTGTTCGGCTTTGCAATATCAACTCACTAAACCAGCTTGACAAGGCTGGTACTCAAAGAGCTGTAGAAGAAGTTGCGAACAGTTCAGAATTAAAACTTAAAATCATATATTTGTACAACCTCTTCACAGTATTTTTACACTGTTGATTTACTGACTGACCAAGCCTTTGTATTTGTTTGAGCTAAAACTGATACATTGTATCACTCTAACCCTAACCCTATCTCAATAAATTAAACTTAAAAAACACAAGTAGTAGTATTTAACCAGTCACTTAAAAATATACAACCTTTTTTTAGTCAGTATCATGCCTGAGAACCATTGCTTTTTAAGAAAATACTTTGGTAGTCTAAAGGGAAATGGTAATTCCAGTCTCTCTGTCACCTAAGTCATATATATTCGGAGTCTTACCTTGACAGCGTGAAGCAACAAGCACCTGTGAACACCACTTCAATATGCCTTCTCTTTTGTTGTGCCTTTTCTCCTTTAACTGAACTCGCCAAACAGGTATTTCAAATCTGTGTACTATAAATAAAGAAGACTAACAACTCACTCAATCAGACACATTATTTGAACTGTGGCTAGAACTTAGATTAATTAATTCATTCTGATGTGGTTATTGTGAAACACCACCTTTTTACATGCGGTCAGAAATAAGTAAGTAATACTGGAAATAAGGAAGCTACATTTAATTAAACTAGCAGTGAATTTATGTTACATTTAATAACTTTAATCTGGGACAATGTCTCTTGAGTTTCATTTGATAGAAAAAGGCCATTATTGAAGTTTTGTGTTCTATACTTATACCGATTTGTTCTCATCTTTCAAGAAAGATATGAACTTGGTTTCTAATTCTCCCACAGTTATTTTTCCCATTCAACAAATTTCATTAACAAGATTCTGTCATTGTGAGTTAATTAGATTTTTATATATTCAATTGTGTTCAACTTCATTGTTCTTGTTTTAAGCCTACATTATGTATGTAGGCTACAGTATATGAAATGCAACAAGTGGAAATTACCTGTATGTGGCCTACACAATTTCTTGGCCTTTACAACTGATTCTGATTCTTCCAATATTTCTCATCCCTTCCCTAAACTACTGATCTCCTCTGATTGCTGACCCTGAACATATACATTGTCATTTATTCATGGGGTTTCAAAGGACATCCATCTTAAAAAGGCATTCTCAGCTTTCAAAAAACAGAGATGTTTTCTCATCCTCATCCTATTTTATTTTTGTATCTGCCATCATGGTCAGTATGAAAGTGAGTTAATACCGCAATTGTTGCTTTTTTACCCTTGCTTTTCCTTCCTAAGGAAGCTCCCTTTGTTTATTAAATATTATTTCTCTAATTATCTACCTATCTGTCTGCCAGTCAGTCAGTCAGTCAGTCTATCTGTCTGTCTATCTGTCTGTCTGTCTGTCTGTCTCTGCTGCACTGCAGACTGCAGCTTTGTTGCAGTCAGATTGTTAGCTGTTGCTATGGACACAAGCAGTGCTTAGCAACCTGTAACCCTCCGAGCATGCGCAGTCTTCATTAATGATACACTGCGGGATTGCAGAATATTGACATAGCAACCAGGCACAGAGCCACCAGGTTTCTACACTCCGTACTTATTTTTGCTGTTTCCCCTGCATTCAAGCTTCTCATAAGTACTTTCGACCGCTGCCATGAATGCGGCGGTGGTTAAAAAGACCCAGGACACGCTGGGCAAAGTGATAAAGAGCCGCCCTTCGGGAACTGCTAAGCAAGCCGCCGTTTCGATACCTGCACGACATCTTCCAGTGAGGTGAGACTGACATGCTATCGTTCACGATAAGGGTTGTAGCTGAGGGGTGAAGGCATGTGGTTTAACTGCGGCCCTTTTGCGTTAAAGTTAAAGTTATGAAAAGGCTATTGTCTACTGCATTGTATGGCCATTTTCAACACTGCAAGCTATGCCGGTTAGCAGGGCGTAATACAGCGTAGATGAACTGGCTAAGCAGAAAGTGCTAACATTAATCTTCGCAGTAGCTTACCTTTGTGAGCTACCAATTCTCTCGGTCGTTATACTGAACGCTTTCCAAGCAGCTTAAACATTAAGGTCCCAATGAACTAAGGAAAATAGCTGCTACGATTTCACTAGCAATCAAATGTAAGGTTGCCGTACAAAGTTATTAGTGGGTTGCTAGTTGCGTAACTAGCATGTCTCGGCTCATCTTGGTTTTTTGCTCTAGGCACTTTCACGATTATTATCTAACTCAGATACGCTGTGTTGGCTAAATCGTGCTTGGTTCTTTGCCGTGACGTGAGATCATGGATGCTGGGCAGCTTATTGCAGCTGCGCTGTTTGATAACACTAAGGGTCACGCGGCTATAATTATCACCGTGTCATTGTTTGTCATTTAGATAATTAAACTGCTGTTTTGGATTTCCTATCTGCTGTAAAAGTGTATGTACACATACAGTATCTGAGCAAGCTACATCTAACCTAATTGCGTTTGTTGATGTGAAGTGATCTCTTTTACCAAGCAGCTGTCGCTCTCAGGCAACAAAACCAGGTCAGCTTCTACTAATCTAGGGGCCCGCATGTTGTTTTTCCATTCTACGTGCTGTACACATAGAGGTGGATACTGACGTACTTCTATAATGCGTGCATGAGGCTGTTAAGAGAGGCAAGCTATGAGAATACTCTTGTTCAAAGGGTATATTGGTCAACAATATTTTCCACTCCTTATTTATTTGGTTTTTCTTCACAAAAAAAAAAAAAATTTTTATTAACATTGTTTAGTAAGCAAGTGTATTTGCGTATTTGCTTTTAAGAACCCTCTGGCTACACCCTATGTTGTGGTACACTGTTTTGATCATTGGGGACTAAAACAACATCGACCCTAGCTAACATTTTCTGAAGCGGATTGTATGGTCATCTGGTATAAGGATTCTTCAGCCTCTGATTAAATATTGCAGTTCGTTAAAGGTGGGGGTATGGTAAGTTGGAAACCGGCTCGGCTAACTTTTTGTTATATTCCATGGAATGCTCTCTAACATCGCCGATAGCAATGAATATTTCTTAATGCTTTGACAAACAATCCATTTAAAAATAGGCTTGTTTGCGAGCGAGCTGCGCTCGCCTCGAAGTAGACTAGGAGAGCCGATCGAGCGGGGGATGGTCTCAAAAAGCTCGCCTGAGTCCGACAGCCGGAATCGGCTTCTTCTTCTCTTCTTCTTCTTCTTCATCAGCTAATCACAGCAGCCGTGGCAGTTTACAGGTGTGGTTTGAATATGCTAAGATATATAAAGTATGGAAAACGTAAGCAGTGGCAAGTTAGTATAAAATTATAGATATTAATTTCATGATGATAACATTGTGGAACAATGATGAAAATGTGAATGGAAGTGGTGAGGTAATGCACAACAACACAACTTTGGGTCGAGCAATTGGAGAGTTTCTCACCGCACGTTGTAAAAACCCAATTGGGCGCCTCAGCTCGAGTAAGCGAGTCGTTTCCATCAAGCATTTCGCTTCCGCAGCCCGTGGAGAGAAACTGCGCCGCATCGCCCGCCTCGCCTCAAGGCGCAGTGTCTTTGTCCCCGCGAGTTGCGTTCTCATGTAGGCGAGCCTCCAGAGCAAGTCGGACAAAATTGACTAACCAGTCAGGCACGCACTAGCAAGCGTTTTGGATCGCAATGCGCAGGTTTGCTTGTCTCAAACAAGCCTTTGTCATCTGTGGAGCCGTAGTACTGTAAAAAGCCACGACCGAATCATTTAGCCGGCCCGGCTAACATTAACTGGATGGTCCTACCTGCCTGTCAAGCTTCCATCTGTGTACAACTTATCTCGTGTTGTGTTGTTGGAGGAGGGCTCTGTTAAGGAAGTGCAGATTTGTTGCGGCTGTGTCATTTTCAATTCTAGGCGCACTCAAGCTGGTTTCTTCAATTACCTTACCTTTTAATATTGCAATTATCTTCAAACTGAATGACACTTTTATTATTCTCACCCTTTCGGTCATCAAGTCACTGGTTTATGAAGGTCTGTTGGAGAAAATGAAATTTGGAAGTCAGATAATGTTCAAGTAGTTGACCACACTTTGTTCGACCTGTTTTATTGTTCCCATCATTCTTTTCTTCCTGTAAATGTGCTTTCTTGGCACAGACTTTGCATTTTGTCTGAGCCAGCCTTATTGTTTATGGCGATCACCTGTGGTTTCATGGACACTCTGAGTGTGTCTGTGTGGGAGTAATTTACCCGCTCCTTTTTCTTCACTGGTGGAGGATCTGGCAGGACATGATGCAGGAATGGGTCAGAATAGTCTCTTTTAGGAGCTGCTGACCTCAAACTAATGCATACATACTGAGGCTCCGTTTTACACCGAAACGACCCTGAATTCGGATCTCAAAAAAGTATTCCTCCAACGGAATTGCTCAAGGAAATGTGTCCTGTCCACTGGGGCTGTCCCGAATTATTCGTTCGTTTGTGAGTATATCTCGCGTTTCATTTCGTTATTCGGATTTCATTTTGTTTGTTTTTTCGTTTTTTTTTTTTTCAAAGATTTATTGAAATCTCTCAGTATCAACGTAGAGCTTGTTCGGGGTGTGCTAACACATGTATCGGTTTATTTTCTCCGTCTTTTTATGTAGGATATTACTTTCCTGTAATTCTTCTGTCACAGCGCTCTTTCCTTCAAATAAAAGCATGCCATACTAGGAGCCGGGACTTTAAGACCATATACAACTGCACGCATAGTAACAAAACATGCGATATCATTTTCAATTTCAAATGACCATCAATTGGGTTAATACTATATACAACAAACTGGTAGAATAACTAATCTGAATGCGTGAATACACCAAATTAACGGTTGAGCGGTCGCTGCTGTGTTACAGCTCCTTCTGTAAAGGCGGTGCACCGCACCCCTGCCATAACTCTGAGCTCCGAGCAGGACTTCGTCCCCAGTGAGTCGCACCGCAGATGCAAACATCCCCACCTCTCCGCCTCTTCCAATGGGGACCGAGGACCGTGCGGCTGGGGGGGGCTGCTGCGAGGGTACCGGGACCATAGTCCGCGGACCCCCTGTTGGCAAGTGTGTACATTTGAAAAACTGAGTGCCACCCTTAGACATAAAAAAATGATAAACTACATCAATAGTTATGATTTTCTTAACATAATGTGCTGTATACATTGATATTAACGTCATAGTATATATTTGTATCGTCAGGTGGCTGAATTTATTTTCAATAATAACATCAGTCATCTAGGTCGGTAGGGTTTCCGGTGGATAGTGACGTAATTGACGCGAACACCACACACTGCAGAGTGACAACGCTTTCTTATGGGCAACAAAAGGTTTTTGATTTTTGATTTTTTTCTGCCAACAACAACCCATAAAAGAGGTGGCACCAGCTACTCCTCAGCCACCACCTTACAACTAGAGTAATATGCAGCAGAAAGAGACTGACACATCTGACGTTTGATGCATGGTCATAGTAGACATTTTGGA